AAATACTCCAGTGCTTCTAAGATAAAGATCTACACATTGAACTATGCCTAAAAGCAGAATGAGAGTGACAAGGCACTGATAGCTTGTGGATTTAAATGATCAATCCATGTTAGGAAGACATTGACTGACATTTTTGAACTATTTTCACTGCATATTTCCATTATCACACTTGGAGTTTAGTAAACCTTGTTCCTTTAATATTAGAAGTTGATGGTTTGTGGAAGAATTTATTGACAATTTGCATTTTCCAAATTTCCATCAAAAGAACAGTTTTTGTGAGGTAGACTGTACTGAATTTAATGACCAGCTAGAACATGTTAGTTGCAAAACACTTGGATTCCATTCCAAAATGTGCTTTAGAATATAAGAGTGTGTAAACATGTATCATTTAAAGCATCTGCATCTTTTCTTTGGTTCTCTTGGCAGTAGTAGTAGCAGAGGCATCACTGAAATCACAATGGTGACTAAGGTAGCACAAAGTGTTACTTTTTGGTACAGGCATTAATGCTGTGTATAGCATTACCATGATCACCACCTTGACTCTAAGTGGCTTATGGTTTAATAGAAAATAATGAGAAATGTACATCCGGAAAGATCATACTACATGCATATTACATGTATCAAAAATGTAATTGGCCTCAACAGCTGCCTTATTTCAAGGCTTGAGACAACATACTTGATTTGGACGAGGGGATAGATGGGGAACTCATCAAATTTGCAGACAACACCAAGGTGGCAGGAATAGTCAACACTCCAGAAGACATTCTTAAGATACAGGAGGATCTGGACAGACCTGAACACTTGGCACTATCTAACAAAATGAAATTCAATGTTGAAAAAAGCAAGGTTTTACATTTAGGCAAGAAAAACCAAATGCCCAGGTATAGTATAGGGAGTACCTTGCTCAATAGTAGTAACTGTGAGAGGGACCTCGGAGTCCTAGTGGACAATCACCTAAATATGAGCCAGCAATGTGCTGCAGCTGCCAAAAAAGCCAACATAGTGCTGGGCTGCATTAACAGAGGGATAGAATCAAGATCACATGAAGTGTTAATACTACTTTACAATGACTTGGTAAGGCCACACTTGGAATACTGCATCCAGTTTTGGTCACCACGATGTAAAAAAGATGTTGAAACTCTAGAAAGAGTACAGAGAAGAGCAACAAAGCTGATTAGGGGACTGGAAGCTAAACCATATAAGGAACAGCTGCTGGAATTGGGTATGTCTAGTTTAATGAAGAGAAGGACGAGGGGGGACATGATAGCATTGTTCCAATATCTCAGGGGCTGCCACAAAGAAGAGGGAGTCAAGCTATTTTCCAAAGCTCCTGAAGGCAGGACAAGAAGCAATGGGTGGAAACTAATCAAGGAGAGAACTAAGGAGAAATTTCCTGACAATTAGAACAATTAATCAGTGGAACAGCCTGCCTCCAGAAGCGGTGAATGCTCCAACACTGGAAGTTTTTAAGAAGAGACTGGACAGCCATTTGTCCGAAATGGTATAGGGTTTCCTGCCTGAGCAGGGGGTTGGACTAGATGACCTCCAAAGTCCCTTCCAACTTTACTATTATTGTTGTTGTTGCTGCTATTGTTGTTATTGTTGTTGTTGTTGTTATTATTATTATTATTATTATTACTAGAGAACAACTCAATCCTCAAGGAATTTCTTTAATTGAAAAGGGAGCGTTCAGTTATGGATTAATGACTTACAGCATTTCTAGGCTGTGTTTATTTTATATATGCTAGTCATACATTCTGGTGTACACCATTATCATATGCATCTATGATTTCTTTTTTTAAAAAAATAAAAGTGCATTGATATACTCAATTGTCTACATAGGTTTATATGTGCATGATTTTTAAAAAAAATGTTCTTGTAAATTTTTAAGTCAATGACTATAATGCAAACATTGAGAAAAGCATGGAATTATTATTTTTTATTATTATTATAATATTAGTTCAACTAACAGAAATGGAATCCACATATTTAAATGTGCCATTCCTCTGCCCCCCACCCCTCTATAGTATTTTTAGTCGAGCACTTTAAATCCATTAATGTGCCATTGGCCTTCACCCAAAAATTCTGGGCCATCCTTTAATTTTTCTATTTCTGAGAGGACAAAATAATATCGTCCATTGCCAATTCTGATTGAAAAGAGTTGGAAAAAAATGAATGCTGACAGCCATGTTATCTCAAATGCTACATTCTTTTAAAAAGACTCTTTTAACATTTTAAAGCATATTATAAAAATGAAAGGAATGGAGCCATTTTGTTTGCATTTAGAGAAGCCAGCAGCAAAAGGGGAAAAAAGCATGTAACCCACAATAGGTGTACATAAAATGCCCAGCTTGCAAGTTCCCATTTCTCATGCTGTTTGATGAACAGGTTTCTTGAAGATTGTTTCAGTTGTTCAGCACATTTTCTGCACACTCTCCCCAGGATTGCAACACTACAGTAGTTCACTTTTGCAGCTAAACTGTAGGTATATAATAATAACAATAAAAATAAAAATAGAATCCTGCTGGCTGCCATAACCTGTCAAAACAAAGGCTAAAAAATATGGGCTGGCAATACTCAGTAATTTAAGGAGTAATAGTTTCACAAAGAGATTAAATGGATGTATGCATCATTTAAATTCATCTAGTTATGATACATACTGCTTTTTCTTCTCATTTTCTTCTCCCTTTTCTTTTCCTCCTCCTCACAAAAGTTATTTATTGTGCTTCAAAAAATATTTGTTCAGGACAAGATTTCTAACTGGCCAGGATTAAGAGTTCAAGCTATCTTCTAAAGGATATCATCCAGCCTTTCCATAAAGTAATGTCAGATTTGTCATTAACCTTAACTTAATGCTTAGTGAAACTTCATTTTCTTTAATGTAATATATAGCTGGTTTAATATGTTACAAAAATCCATCAAATGTTACTGTTTTTCTGCATTTTCCACATAATTCATATTGAAGAGATGCATATAAAATATAGAAAAGGAGTTACAGATCAATGACAGCAATGATAGAACTCATGTTTGATATGTGGGAGGACTATACAACACTGATGGAACTAGCAAAGCTCTCTTTATGAAATCTTGCTGCTGGCCAGCGTAGACTAATTTAGCATCTTCCAGATGAAATGAGATTACAGTTCCCAGAATTCTCAGCCAACAAAATCTGAATGGCCAGAAAGGTTTGTGAGAATTGTCATAATTGGAGAAGAATTATCATAATATGACTGGAAGGCATTAGATTAGGAAAATTTCTCTAAATGACATTGGGTTAGATGAGCCAATGGTTTTGTTTGTAATAAGCACTACAATTTAATGTTCTGATGTGAACTTTGGTAGTATTCTTGTGGGTTGGATGTCTTTGTTTCTATCCTGTCATGTTCATTCGTATATGTTATGTCCCGAGCCTTGCAAACGGGCTCGGGGCGTTTGCAGGCAGTCCCGGGCAGGTGCAAGCTGCCCGGGACCAGACAGGCTGTCGCCAGCGCCTGTGCACATGCGCGGGTGCTGGCGCAGGAAAAGTAACACATTGACCCGGGAATTGCCTATATAAGAGGCTGGGAGCTTTTGGGCGTTGCTGAAGCCTTCATCTGTAACCTGAACACAGAATAAAAGAAAACCTGAGAACTACAACTGCTTCTCGTGTCTGCTTTTTGCCAAGGACTCAACACTGGCGACGAAGGTGGGATGCCTTACATCACCTGGAAAGGAAGAGGTGTAAGCTTACCCAAGTGAGTCCTGAGCGGCGGAACGGCGTTGACTCGGCAGCTACCCGCCAATCCAATGTGCATTCGGGGGTAGGCTGGCTGATAGACCCGTCTCCTGAAAATGGCAAAAGTTGGAAGGCTTTCTGAATTCGACGTCTCACATCCAGAGCGGTGGGAGTCCTACGTAGCCAGGGTAGAAAATTACCTCAAGGTAAACCAAGTGAGGGAAGATAGCTTGAAGGCTGCCATCCTGCTTTGTGTCTGCGGTCAAGACGCCTTCGAAATAGCAGAGAACCTTGCAGCACCTGTCCCATTAGAGTCTGTCAGCTATGCAGATCTAAAGAAGCTATTGAAGGAGCACTTCCAGCCCAAGATGTCCGTCATCGCATGGCGCTACACCTTCGAGCAGAGGGATCAACGATCCGGAGAGTCGGCCAAAGAATACATCGCCGCATTGAGGAAGGCTGCCAAGCACTGCGACTTCAAGGACCTCGAAGAACGACTGAGGGACCGATTCGTGTGCGGTTTAAGGCATCGAGATCTACAACAGAGGCTTTTCACCAAAGAAGACTTGTCCTTCCAAGATGCCTTAAGAGAGGTCACCGCAGAAGAAGCAGCAGGCGGCGCCGTCAAAAACATGCGGCCGATCAGGAACAGTCCAGATGTTGCATCCGTGCACCAAGAGGACGTCCGAGGGAACTCCGAGAAGGGTCCGGATGAGGAAGTCAACCGTCTCCACCACACGAAGGAAGGGAATCAGAAAGGAAGCTCTGCAGCTACCCTCAAGTGCATCGGCTGTGGAGGTCGCCACAGGAGAACCGACTGCAAATTCCGCTCCGCTATCTGCCGGGCGTGCAGGAAACAAGGACATATTGCAGCTGTGTGTCTGGGCCGACGAAAGGTACAACCTCAGGAAGAACTGCGCCTGAAAGGTACCAGGGTCCCCAGCCAGAATAGGGTAGGTTTTTGCGCTTCGCGAAGAAGCATCTTCAGGACAGGCACACACAAGCCCATCAAGAAAAAGCTGTCACTCAAGGTGAAGCTACAAGGGGTTCCATTAACTATGGAACTAGACACGGGTCTGCCCTTTCAATCATATCCTTACATACATTTAGGAAGATTTGTTCCGGCAGTGGAACTCAGGCTAAATTAAGGCCTTCTGACATTGTGTTAACAGACTTTCAAAATTCGAGAGTGTGTGTTAAGGGGGAGGCCACCCTTAACGTACAGTATAAGAATTTTGAAGGTCCACTAGACCTATTAGTAGTAGGGGGTGAACGAACGAGTCTCATAGGACTCGATTGGTTTGAAGCCTTGGGGATACACGTCACGGGGCTCAACAGCTTACAAACACTCGACCTACAGGAAGTCTGCAAAGAATTTGCAGATGTCTTCAGCCCCCAGCTGGGCACATTCAAGGGACCCCCTGTGTCCTTAAAACTAGACCCCACTGTCACACCCATTAGAATTAAAGCAAGAAGGGTCCCTTTTGCTTTAAAGAGTAAAATTGACACTGAGTTAGACAAACTGATCCAACAGGGAATCCTAGAACCTGTTGATTCCAGCCCTTGGGAGACCCCCATTGTCACGCCTCTAAAGGCAAATGGGGACATTCGCATTTGTGCTGACTACAAATGCACTCTTAATAAGGCATTGCAGCAACATGCCTATCCTGTTCCTCTGGTCAGTCATATTCTGGCCTCCCTCAAGGGGGGGGGCGCGTTTTTGCAAAGCTTGACCTAGCTCAAGCATATCAACAGCTGCCTGTTGATGATGATGCTGCTATAGCTCAGACTATTGTGACCCACAGGGGAGCCTTTAAGGTAAAAAGGCTACAGTTTGGGGTGAATGTCGCTCCTGGGATTTTCCAAATCGTAATGGAAAACACACTACGGGGCATACCGGGGGTTTGCCCCTACTTTGATGATGTCTTAATTGCAGGAGACGCCACACACATTCTAGCTGAAAGGCTAAGGGCTGTTCTGTTAAGGTTCAGGAAAACAGGCCTCAAGCTCAAAAAAGACAAATGCAAAATTGGGGTGCCTTCTACTGAATTTCTGGGATTCAAAATTGATGCTACTGGGATTCACCTTGCTGAATCCAAACTAACTGCCATTTAAAAGCACCTAGGCCAAAGTCTAAGGCCGAACTTCAGGACTTCCTGGGCCTCCTGAATTTCTACAATTCCTTTCTTCCACATAAAGCTAGTGTAGCTGAGCCTCTTCACAGGCTATTAGACAAACAAGCAGTGTGGCAGTGGTCACAAACACATGAGGCTAGTTTCAATGAGGTCAAGGCCTTACTCACTTCTAACAGTGTACTTGCACACTTCAATGAGTTCCTTCCTGTGTGCATCGCTTGTGATGCTTCCCCTTACGGGGTAGGAGCTGTCCTGAGCCACCTCAGGTCTGATGGAACTCAGGTTCCTGTTGCATATTACTCCAGAACACTGTCTTCTGCTGAGCGCAACTACGCTCAGATAGACAGGGAGGCTCTGGCTGTTGTTGCTGGAATTAAAAAATTCCATGATTTCTTGTATGGCAGGCATTTCACGGTCTTCACTGACCATAAGCCTCTGCTGGGACTGTTTACCACACGTAAACAAACTCCCCAAATCATTTCCCCTAGAATGCTTAGGTGGTCTATTTTTCTGTCTGCATATGATTTTTCCTTACTCCACAAGCCTGGGAAAGAAATGGGCCATGCTGATGGCCTCAGTAGATTGCCCCTGCCAGTAGTAGAAGCTGACCCTGCGCCAGCTGTCAACATTCTATCCATCCAAGCCTTGCCCGAGTCCCCTCTGAATGCCAGGGATGTCGCCGCTGAAACAGGCACAGATCACACACTTTCACGTGTCCTTTCTTGGGTTTTGTCTGGATGGCCTGAGCACTACCCTAGTCCTGAGTTTCAGAGTTTCTGGTCCAAAAGGAACGAGTTGTCCACTTCTCAGGGTTGTCTGCTTTGGGGAAACAGAGTTGTCATTCCCACCTCAATGAGGACTAGGATCTTAGAGTCCCTCCACGAGGGTCATCCTGGCATTGTTCGCATGAAGGCCCTTGCGCGCAGCCACTTGTGGTGGCCTGGTTTAGATAAGGACATTGAGGCTAAGGTGCATGCATGCCACCTGTGCCAGCGCTCTCGCCCAGAGATGCCCCAAGCTCCTGTGCATAGATGGGAGGATACACAGTCCCCATGGTCTAGGGTGCACATTGACTACGCTGGGCCCTTTCAGGGCCAGTTCTTCTTGGTCCTCGTTGATAGTCATTCAAAATGGCTTGAGGTTGTACCTGTCTTATCCACCACCACTGCAAAGACTATTCAGGTACTGAGGGGGATTTTTGCTGCACACGGGCTCCCAGATGTCATCGTGTCTGACAACGGCCCTCAATTTACTTCCTCCGAATTCCAAGCTTTCTTACAGGCTAACATGATTCGTCATGCCACGTCTGCACCCTTCCACCCGTCCACCAACGGTATGGCTGAACGCATGGTCCGCATCACAAAGGACGCCTTGAAAAGACTCACCTATGGGGACTGGCATCACAGGTTGGCTGACTTTCTCCTTTCTTACCACACCACACCATCCACTTCTACAGGGAGAAGCCCAGCTGAACTTCGCTGGGGGCGCAAACTTACTACGAAGCTTGACCGGTTGCATCCGGACAGACTGCCTTCATCTACCTCACATCCTAGGGCACCTAGACAACTACTTGTGGGTGCCCCGGTTTGGACTCGCAATTACGGGCCTGGTCATACATGGGTCCCCGCTTCTATTTCCAGGGTCACAGGTCCTCTCTCCTACGAGGTAGCCCTGGACAACGGTCATGTCCTGCGTCGGCACATCGACCAACTCCGCCCTAGGCGGGATCTTTCAGATGAGACTCCTGGGTCTTTTCCAGGGGGGGAGGGGGACCCTTTAGAGCAAAGGGAGGGGCACGAGCTGCTGCCCACCTCCAATGATGGAGCCACAAACGGCCCATTCCAAGATTCCGCGAGTGCCCCAAACAGGAATTCTAAGAGCCTATCCAACTACCAGGCATTCACGCCTACTCCAGCCAGGGAGTCACCCCGGGGGTACAATCACTATTCACCTGCACAGCACAGTACTCCAGTCAGGGAGGATACCCAGGAGCATCCCAATAAATCATACCCCGCAAGAGAGCTGGCACATAATCCCCAGAGTTGGCCTGACCTTACCCCAAGTCCTACAGGGGGTCAAACATACAGGGAGGTGGTCGAGGAACCAAGTCCCAACCGCAACACCTCTAGCCCAAATCAGGGAGTAACTGAGTTTTGGGAAGGTACAGAAACCCACACGAGCCCGGACACAGAACGGGTTTTAGGGAATGGACAGCCTCCTGACAGGTCTTGGACGGACCTAGGAGGTTCTACATAGACGCCCAGCAGTGGCTATCACTTCAAGGGGCCCGAGGGCCTACAGCTAGGCAGGTCAACCAGGTCACAAAGTGACAGAAGCCCTGGCCTGACGAGCCCGGTGGGTGAGCAAGCAGGCCAGGCATTGGGGCACAGTCCTTGGAAGGCACCAAGGCATGATAAGGAGAACAGGCTCACGTCTCCCCTCAGTCAGGGAACACCTGTCAGAAACCCAGAGCTGAGAAGGTCACAGAGAGCAAGGAAATCTCCTAAATACTTAGAGGATTACATAACATTGCTGGCCAAACAAAAGCCAGTAAACAGTAGGAGCACTGGGGAGTAGAACACTGCATCAAGAAATAATTGTATGTTGGTAGTAGTCTTAGCCCGGGGGAAAGGGGTGTTATGTCCCAAGCCTTGCAAACGGGCTCGGGGCATTTGCAGGCAGTCCCGGGCAGGTGCAAGCTGCCCGGGACCAGACAGGCTGTCGCCAGCGCCTGTGCGCATGCGCGGGTGCTGGCGCGGGAAAAGTAACACATTGACCCGGGAATTGCCTATATAAGAGGCTGGGAGCTTTTGGGCGTTGCTGAAGCCTTCACCTGTAAGCTGAACACAGAATAAAAGAAAACCTGAGAACTACAACTGTTTCTCGTGTCTGCTTTTCGCCAAGGACTCAACAGTATACATATCACGAAGGTTTGAAGTATTTATTGAGGATTCGCCAGCCAAGAATAGTATTCCCAGGACTCATCCCTTGCAGGAAACAACAGAAAACCAATGAATTCAATTCCCAAGTCCTGAAACACAGAGCAAGTTTATAAAGAGACCCACCAGGTTTGAATCAAAAGACAAGTCCACAGTTTGAGCACCAATCACAAAACTGAAACCCAAGTCCAAGATCCAAGAAGCAAAATCCAAAATCCAATAACAGGGTCAAGTTTAAGTCTCAAGGCAAATGTCACAATGGCTGAATAAGTGCATGGCAAGAAATGGGTGAGTTATTCCCAGCATTGCTGCCAGACAGTGCATCACATGAGGAGAGAAGAGGCTGCCTCCTCACAAGTAGTCTCGCTGACCTTTATTGTGCTTCCCTTCTCTCAGCTCTGCCTGCCTTGTGAACTGGTGGAGGAAGCAGTTCCTTTTCATTCCTGCTGACCCAGATGCATCTGAGCACCTTCTCTGCCCTCTGCTTCTGACTGGCTTTCCTAGGCATCTCTTCCCTTTCTTTGTCAGCCAGCTGCTTGTCTGGTCACTCCTCCAGCTCTTCAAAGGTTCCTGGTCTCGTGTCTTCCAGCCTCTCCTCTGACCCCCAATCTGAAGTTCCTGAAACTGGATCTTCTTGTCATTCAAGCTGACTTCTGGGACATCCATTACAGTTTTCCTTCTATTGTGCTGTCAGATGTCTTTGAACATGTATAAGGAGTACAGAATATACTCACATACATATGCAATCTCCTGTGTTTAGAGGTCGTTATATGTGATTTTTTTTTTCATTTTAAAAGGTTCTCTTAGTGTTCTCCCTATGTGTTTTTCCTACATCTAATTATCACTGTTGTTCAGCTGAATATTTTCATAAAATTAAATTATCACTTACAAGTGAAACACTAGACATAATTAAACCCAGTCCAGAGGGATCAGGTTGAAGAGACAATTGGAAGCAGAAAATCTTGTATGAGCAGCAACATTGCCAAGTGTTTTGTTAACAAATCCCCTAATTCAAGATTCTTTCTGACAAACAACAGGAAAAATATTTTATTTACTAGAGACCATATATTTTGTAGGTCTAAAAATAATAAATATTTAGATGATTAGTCTTCATCATCATGTTATTCCTCAAGATTTAGAGGAATATTTCCACGTGATGAGAAATATAAATTGAGGCTTCTGAAAAGTTGATCAGGTGTATTTTATTTTTAAAAACAAGTGAAAAGAATAAAAGAAAACATTTGTAGATCAAACACAGATTTTTGTGGTTGCAGTATAAGTAGATCAGTGAGACTACTATTAGTTTATTTATGAAAGCAAATCCTCTTTAAGGAAACATGCAGACTAGAAAAATGGTGTAATTACCTTAAGGCAGAAATACTTTGAAACTGTTAGAAGAATCTGCTTAACAGCTGCAATTGTACAGTATATTTGCTTCTTGCTGAAATAAAAGTGATGAAAAGAAAAAAAATCACCTCAGATATGGTAATTGTCAGATATAGTTTAAAAGAATCTCAGAGCTATCACACTTGGGTCTGAGATTATACCCCCTGAGAAATCATTATTCTGAATCACAATTATATGTATTGAAAATGGAATCTATTGTATTGGACGGGAACAACCAATTTCACAATAATGTTCATCTTCCTCTACTTTTCTCAAGTGTTATGGTAATTACAACAGTAGATATCATACATGTAGCATTTTTTTTATTTTGCCATAAAATCCTGAAATTTGTGAACTCCTTTCTTATCCATTTGGATACATGCACTTATGCATAGACAATCATATGCACAACGATTCATACAATGATTTACAACGCACCATACTTGCTTTAGCACAGAAAAGAAACCACTTTGACCTATTCAGAGTTGTACTGTAGATTACATATGGTCTATGAACCAAACGCAGTATACCTCTGAAGATTTGTTTACTTAGTGGAAATTTCATATGCTAATGTCATGTACTCAAAATAAAATGCATTTTAAAACAGTAGAAAAAAGCTACAATCAGACTGTGCTGAGAAGCTTTTCCTTAGCCTTTGGGATACAGATTATTAGAGCAAGTTGACCTGCAGATTAATCCAGCAAAGCTCAATTTATGTTCCTGCATATTTGTGAATTAAACCATGATTACGATGTTGTGTACTTGTCCAGCTGAAGAGACAATTAATATGCAATAATATGATTGAAGTACAGAGTCCTATCTATGCTAGTGCATTCACTCTGGAAGACCCAAGAAGATTACAGAAAGTTGCCTTATACTTGGTACATCCTTCATCCATCTTGCCTGGTACTGTTAATATTGGCTGACAAAGTCTCTGTACATTTAAATCAGGCGTTTTACCAGTCCTGTTGAGAATTAAAACTACCAACAAACAAATCACAAATGGCAGACTTAGGTCACCTTATAGGGACTCAGAAACTAAGCTAGATCAGTCTTAATATTTGGATAGGAAACTGGCAGGAATATCAGGATTGTAAGGTACACTGAGAAACCAAAAAACATTCCAGAAAGCAACCACTTCTGTTCTTCTGCCAAGAAACTGCATCAAATCACAAGGAATCAAGTTCAATTCAAGAACAGACTTTAATGTTTAAAATGGATTACTTCCTTCTGTTTGTGCTGTCAGGGAACCTAGCAACCCAATAACCATTAAAAGACAATTTCCTATAGCAGCTTCAAAGAGCAAAACAAAAAACAAAAACAAAAAAACAAAAGCAAGTGAGAAGTAGTTCTTAAGTGACATCAATTGGTTCCTGCATTGCCAAAATCCCCTTGCCTACTCAACAGATAATCTCTTCTAATGTATATGGTTATTAAAGAATCAATATTTATCTCTAACAGTTAGAAATGAAAGTGATTTTGCTGAGTGAACCTTTCATAATTTAATGAAGCAAGTATAGTAGCATGCAAGGTAAGATGACTTGAAAAAAAGAAGCACAGTAATAAATACCATGGAAGCTAGAAGCATGTTAGTGTAGCAGGCCAATTTCATTTATTTTGCAAGCTAGGCAGTTTTCTGTCTGGAATTTAATGAGCATCCCTTGAGTTTATGTATTAGGTTTCATAAAGTTAGGGAAGTGGGCCAAAAAGACAAGTGTGTTGCTGCACTTTTTGGAGCACATACAAATTTCAAAGGCAAAGTTTTGATTCCTGATACATAGAAGACATAGATAAAACATACTTAGAGGCTTTTGAATGCCTTTCATGTGGCAGGGAGAACAAGGTCAGCAACACAATGCACAAAAGTTGAATCACCTACCAAACAGAAACTATAAAGAACTTGCAATTATTATTCATGGATTAGGGTATGCCAGCACAAATTACATACAGTTACTGTTACAATAAATGCACCAGATTGGAATTAATTGTGAAGCTTGGCAGTATTCAAGACTATGAAGGAATTGAAGAAAATGGGAAAAATTGTCTTATTTATTGAGAAGAAGTTTTCTAGATTTGTTTTAGCACTATTTCTGTCTTTGCAAACATGAACAGTTTGAATTTTATCTAAAGGCAGAATTCAAAAATACCATGATGTGTCTATTAGTACAAAGACTGAAATCATGCGAGCAATGG